ACTGCAGAGCTATTTACTGCAGAACTTAGGGTCCAAAACAGCTTAGAGCTTGGTGAACTCAAAGGAAAATGTCTCTCAAGAGTAAAACTCAAGGATGCTTTCTCTGTTTTTTGTCAGCTTACATAACTAACTGGCAATGAGGGTAGCATTAGCAATAAAATATAAAGTAGTGCTGTCTCCCTAACTGGAGTATGATCTAAATAATGGTGGAAGGTTGTGGGAGAGGATGAAAAGATTAGCTGAACTAATCCAGAACATTTCAAAGACTGACTATTTTCTGCACATGCCAGAGGCCCCATTCCCTAAGAACTTTTGTGTAGTGGATAAAAAGGAAACTCTATGGCAGACTACAAAAATAAGAGAACTGTGATAGGACTCGGGGAGGGGGTTGGTTGTGTTTTTGTTTTCCTGTTAATTTATATCAGCAAAAGAAACATGCAATAAGTTGGGCACACAGTTTAACTGTTTCTGCTTGTAGCCCTAATGCATTCACCTCACAGAGGGGCACTAGGGAGAGCTTGGTGCAGGCTACTCATGTATGTCACTCTGTGTGTGTGTGTGTGTGTGTGTGTGTGGCAGGGAGAATGGTGTCATAAGTAGCAGGAAAAAAATGAACCTGGGACCTCTGGATTTAATACATGAACTAAAAGAAGTAGATAATAGCAAGCTATTCAGACACTATGGCTTTGCCACTACAAGAGAGGAGAATGATGCACAGAGTAGATGTGTACTACATGAAGAGCAGTATTTTCTGATATGTGAAACAATCCAAAAGTTGAAAGTAAGGCATACTTTCTTTGGTTCTTTTACAGAAGAAAACATGTAACATTATTTCAGGGTTTGTAGTGTCAGGGAGCAGCAAGAGCGACTGCTTCGCAAGGGCAGGGGAGCCAGAAGCTGAGGGTGACAGCAAGGCAGGCAGGGGCAGTGCCTTCACTGACAGGGCGCAGTCCTGCAGCACCTGAGCAAGAAGAGCAGAGCAGGTCCAGTGACAGTAACCAGGGTCAGCCACAGTCCAGTGATGGCCAGGCAACTCTGTAGTGACAAGACAGGGCCAAGGTCAAGCCAGGCAGCCAAGTCAGTGGGTCGGGGTCAGTGAGGGACATGGCTGGGTACAGTATACCTACAGTGTAGCTCAGGCAAGGCCCAAGGACGATGGCCTGAGCTTAAATGCAGTCCCTTAGAGAAGGAGGAGCCCCCACCAAAGCTTCTCCCAATTCTTTCTCCCACCTTAGCTGTTTTCCCAGCAGTCTGATCCCAGATTACATGTCTGTACCATATCAGAGCTGCCCTTGAGCACAGGTAGCCAAACCTCACAGAGGGGGGAGGTTGCCAAGTCTGTTGATGCCCTCAGGGCCCTGACAGATGGAGATTTTTTTTTTTTTTACCTTCTACTCTTCTTGTTCCTTGGAAGAGAGATGGGCACATCCAAGTAAAACATGAAGGAAACAACCCTGCAATACACTACAATGTCTGCAAATCATCTAGAGGCTCTCAATCCTACAGTAGATTTGAAAAATAATCCCTTACAAAGATTTCCTGTTTTTTCCCTCCTGGTTCTCTGCTTCTCTTCCACAGCTCCTCCTTCAATCTTAGTGACATACATTTCTTTCTTCCACTGCTTCTTTTTGCTTCCTTTGTTTCATATTATGCTTCTAACCTTCCTTTCATGTGTCCCATATGTTCTTCTCTTTGTCCTCCAAGCTCACCTCTGGCTTCTTCTCTGTCCCCATGATTTTACCCATGTTGATAACATTCAATAAAAATAAACAGTCTCCTGCTGACAAACTGTAAAATATTTAGGTCTATCATCTCCTTAATTTTTAAGATTTCAGAAAGAATTTGAAATACAAAAATAAACAAACCTCCAAATAACGAATTATCTTTATTTATATCCTAGAGCAATCTACCTATGGAAAATTATTCAAATGCCAACAAGTGCAAAAGCCCTGTCTTCCAATAGCTCCCATGCTCCACTCTATATTTTTAAACTACTGACAATTATTATGTAAATCACGTCAAAGCCAGATTATCCTATTTTCTCATATGTGAAAATAAAGCAAAAGCACTGGGTCCACTCTCATCCAAACTAATGTTTTACAAAGATACTGCATTCCCATACCAAAAATGGCATGCATCATGATTTACTTTTTGAACATTTCATCTTCAAACTTTTTCTTAAATATCAAATTTCATGTTTATGGTTATGTTATTCCTCCTTCTGACTTTCTTCTAGTTTTGTCCTAGAAAAACTAGCATAGTCTACTCCCCAATCTCATTTTAAATTTTGTTTTTATATATGTCTTTATACTTCTTTGTCATTAATTTTTCTTCTCAGACCCAATCAGATCTTATTCTTTGCTTTTTCTTCACTACTATTATGTTTTACTATCACTGCTTCCTGGCTCCTTTTCTCTGTTCTGCTCATTCTGTGTTCATTCCTATTAATTCTCTCATGTTCTGCGAGCCTATCCTTACTCCCTTTCAATAGTTCTTAGTCAATGCTTTTAAAATAATCTTTCTTCCTTCTTCCAGCAACCCCCAGAATATCAAGAATTGTCTTTTTCTTATTTCATGTTGCATTCATTTTTCTACATACCCACAAATCCACTCATTTTTTGCCTCCTCCTAGATCCTCTGGCCTTTCCATCTCATCTGTTCTCTGTCTCAAACCTTATCTTTGCTGCCACCTAACTGCATTATTGCTCAATACATCAAATGGCTCAGCCATCTAATCTCCCCATTCAATACTTTCTCTAAGAAATTCGTCTCTCCTACCCTCATTCCAGTCCATAATGAATACTATGCTGCTCAATTTCTTTTATTAGTACATAATTTTCTCAGTAGCATACCCAATCAGGACATTATCAACTTCTAAATAATTAGCTCACTTTTCCTCTAACCTCCTCAATAACTGCCTCTTTTTCACATCCTCTCACAGACTAGCAATAAAATACCTTTTACATTCTTTCTTTCCCTTTATATTCTAGTCTCTAATTCCATTTTGCATGTTACAAAACAGGCCACCTACAATCACTCCATAACCATGTGATCTTTCTAATCAGTAACCCCTGTGCTAGCAACCTGATCTCTGTTTCTTTACCACCCCAACCATATAATGGATTTCCAGATATGATCTTGTAGCAAATTGATCCTCTTTCAGTCTGTCTCCCTAGCAAAAAGTGTTTCCTGTTCCAGAAAGCTGATCCTGTGCTTTCTACATAGGCTCCCACAAAATATTGATCCTATTTCCTCTAACCCAGTAAAACTGATCCCATTTCAAAGTCTCTTCAGAACTTTTTTTTCTCCTCACTCTAGAAAAGGGACACTTTCTATTGTTAGCAGTAGCTTCAAAAGAAAGACTGTGATCTGCAAAACAGAAAACACTGTAAAGGGATTATAATGGGACTGTTCCCTTTACTGTGGTGGTGGAGTGGAACTAGGACAACGCTGAAGACAGCTTGATTTATCTCTTTTTAGTTATGACTATTAACCCACATTCCTACTGTATTCCTCTGCATTAATTATCTTTGAATGTTTCAGGGAACCCAAGAAGGCTGGCACCCAAAGATTCAACTAGATCACATGCACTACAGCACTTGAAACTGAGCTTGTAACACCACCAACAAGCTATAAACCAAACTGAATTTGTGCATCTCTGACACTGGTGTCGTGCTGTAGTAGGTATAGTTACAGGAAGGTGTGTGTTATCTCAACAACAGAGATGAAGATAAAAAGGCAAGGAGCAGATTTCCAGGAGGACTACGTAACTCATTTATTTCAACTGCCTTTGCACTCATAAATCAGGCCTTCAGTAACTCAGCCAAGGCCACAATGAGAATTATATCAGACCTGAAATTAAAATACAGGGATCTTTGCTATCATCCTGATACAAAAAGTCACAAAATCACATATCTATCATTCGGAACCTGTCAGTCTGTCAGTTTGTTAGCTCAATCTCCAAAGTTTTATTACTCAGGCAATAAAGCTGCTGCAAATTCTGCCCAAAAATGTAGGCTTCAATGTTCCCATGTGTAATAGCATCACAAAAACCTACTTCCATAAGCTGGATCTGACTTGGAACAGCATCACATACATTTTTACAGTACCATTTTAATGGTATACATGAAAAGTCCAGACTTTTTCAGTGTTGTGGACTAAAACTACTCTACTTGGAGTCTTGAGCAAAAATGTGGCAAGTAAGACCCATGCATCCGATTTGTGGTAAAAAGGAGGTTTGATGTTTTAGTCCTGGCCCACATCTGCACTTTTTTGATATGATAGGAACAGACAAATCTATTCTGTATTTATTAGGCAGACTCAAATCTGGCTGAATTGAGATTTTGACAGCACTTTTGTACTGGGAAACATTGAGGCCTAGATTTCATTAGTGGATGCAAAGCAGTTTTACTTGCTTTTTATTTATGCCATATCAGGTCCATGCTTTTGTGTCACTGTGACAGCTGACATGCTGAGTCCTTATTCTGTGTCTGAAAGGGAAAACTGGAAGCCCAGAGTAATTTCCTATGTCATCAGTATAATTTGGGACCTCCTTCAGGAGATCCAGCAGGACCCCCCCTCTCAAAGGTTACTTCTTAGGAGGAAGTCCAGCTGGCTCCTAACATCACCAGGTCTCGTGGTCAGAATAGGCCGCAAGCTCTGCAGGCCTGAGACTAGAGACGCTTTGCCTTGTGAGGGAACGAGTAAAAGATGGTCCCGCTTGGCCCCCGTAGAGACGATAACGGCCGCTTCTCTACGTGCGCGCTAACCCATCCCCCCTCAAGTGCTTGATACAACGACAGAGCAGGAGGCAAAAGCCGCTGGCCAGAGAATACTCAAAGGGCGGGGTTGGGGCGTGACTTTGTATAAAAACGAATGCGGACTGAGAGGTGACGATACCTATCCTCCTCCTCCCGCTTTCCGGTGTTGTCTCTTTACGGCGAGGGGCTCTCGCGAGATCAGCGTTGGCGCCGTGACCTCCGTATGAGAGCGGCAGCGACTAGTAAACACTGAGGTTCGGTGATGGCTCCTGGTGGTGTTCGTTAAACCTGGCTGTAGTGGTTCCCGCTAGACCGTCTCATGCTGGCTTGGAGATCTCTCGGTCCCGATTGTGTGATACGGTGGGTACGCTCGGGGATTGGAGGAAGATCGGATCAAGTCTCCTTTCCTTTCCACGCCCCTCTAAGCGAGGCCTGCGGGCGGGGAGGCTCGTGTCTGTTCCGCGGGATTTAAAAATCCTGCCTCCATTGAGCCGAACAAAGGAGCGGGAGAAACGTCCGTTCCTCTTCTCTCCTCGCACACCCGGAGAGCGAGGACCACCCCCCCTCCGTGAGTGGCAGAGCTAGCAGAAGGTGCGCACAATGTGGATCCAAGTCCGTACCATAGATGGCACTGAGACTCATACTATTGATGACCTGAGCCGTCTCACCAAGATCGAATGCCTGCGGGAGAAGATCCAGGAGACCTTTCGAGTGACTCCTGACCGCCAGCGCCTCTTCTACCGGGGCAAGCAGGTGAGGTGGAGATGTCCCTACCTGGTGAATAAGGATAGGGATGGAGGGGAGGTTCTCTCCTCTATCTCATGCTCCCCTTTAGCTCTGCTCTCTCTGTGGCTGGGGGTAGAGCTCCTCATCCCCTTCCATATAGGAACCTCTGGCTCTGGCTTTTGTTTCCTCTTGCTAAGCCTAGGAGGTGGTGAGGGGCAAGGAGGGGAGCTAAGCCACCTGGCATGATGAGAGGCTCTGAGTTCAGCTCTGGTTTCTTTCTCCTCTTCTTTCTTCCCCACTTTCCAATGGTAAGTGGGTACTAGTGAGGCCTCTTCTTGTTTTCTCCTCTGTACTGAGGGAGGCACCTCCACCTTATTGCATCTAAGTGACAGGGCAGGCAGTGGGGCATGGAGAGGAGGAAATCCTCTGCTTTCCTCTTATGACCAGGCAAGAAAGTGCAGTTGTTCTCCCAGGATTCCTTCCCCCTTCGCCTGTCCTCCCGGTTCTCTGTTTTCTTTATACCCGCCTAGGTATGTATAAAGAAAACGTTTCCCGCGTGTGCCCTGCAAGCGGTTTCCAAGGCCTAGGTGCCGCGCCAGAGATTAACGGTTCTCGGAGACTGTGGACTCTGAACTCCTCCCATCCCCCCCAGAAGGGGAGGGAGTGAGAGAGACTTACTCATTAGAATCCTTTCTGGAGGTGGGCACGTGACTGTATGGGCGGAGGAAAGGGGGGGGGGGGCTGAGGGTGCAGCTTCTTGCCCGCCCTGGCTCCCTTGTATTGAAGCCACGTGAGTTTAGTTTGTGCAGGCATGACTTGTGTGTTTTAGTCCTTTTCGGTGTTGCGATTATCCCTTTACAGAGAAGGATATCAGTTGTATCTGATATCTCAAGAAGTGCTTCATCTAGACCTGGTTCCAACAGTATTGGGGGCTACTGATTAAAAGCTTTCTGTGAGTTGATACTTCCTTTCCTCACCAGTGTAGGGTATGCCTTTATTCAAAAAGGTTGCCTCAGGCTGTATTTTTGCTGTTGAAAGGTGTAGCACTTCAGGCTGTATTATATAAATGAGGTACATACAATGCTTTCCAAAAGGAAACTAATAGATTTCATGTCATGTTGGCTCTGTTCTGAGTGGTCTTGTCACTCTTCCACAAGGAAGATGGGAGCCAGGTTTTGTGAGTGCATATCCAAGTAGGTGGCTGCAGACAAACCCATGCTGCTCTAATATGGCCAGATATGAACAACATCAGTCTTCAAGTTGAATAGTTTGCTTGCTCTTTTCTTATGTCTGAGTCAACATACCTCTTCAGTACAGATCCTGGTGAGTGTTGCAATTTAATATGTGCATGTATGTGTATTGTTAAGGGTATCATCACAGATCATTGGGAGTGTTAAGAAGAGTGATAGGTCAGTTTAGAACAAAATTTGACTAGACTGATGTTCATTAACAAGACACTTTTGTGCTAATAGCTAGGTTTTACTTATTGTTATCACTGCATATTCAAAGCAGTTCTTAACAATCAAGTAGGTGACTCCCCCCCCC